TGGACATTTTTGAGGAGTCATTATGCTGTTGCTTGCACTCAGTTTCTCCTGTTGTGAAATGAGGTTAAAAATAGAACATGTTGCATGTAAAGTACTTAGCACAATGTCATAATAATGCTCATGATGAGCATAATTCTTATAATAGGCGCTCAATAAAACACGACACTTCCATCCACGGGCTAACTAGCTAATCTCCTTTCCCTACCTTAAGGCTTTGGGAGGTCCTGAATATATATATATACATGTATGTGTGCGTGCGTGTGTGTGTTGTGTGTATACACTTTTTTTTTTGCTAGAGAGAAATTATGAAAAGTAGTCATTCATGTTAGGTGGTGGCTTCATTATAATCAGGTAGTATGACAAGCAACTATTTGGGTTTAGGATAAGTGAACGGCCCTGGGGTTGAAAAATCAAATATATCTGATTCATGCATGAGATTTAATGGGTATGAGGGATAGAAACTATACATAGTCTGAACTGTATGATTTCATTTTCTAAACAAAATAACTGACCAGTCAAATGAATTATTTGAATGCCAATTGTTTAGTAGTTGTATAGCTATTGCTTACAAGTCCAAATGGCTGTAAAATTTGAGAGTAGCTGTTTACAGAAGCTATGTGTTCTGGGAAGATTTGCGTGGTAGCTCAATAAAGATCCTAAAATTACCCTATAAATGCAAAACATTGTAAATCTAATTATGCAGGCAATGAATGAAGTTTCCATCCTTGATAGTGAATTTTGTTTAAAAATACAAACTTTTGTGAACTTGTTGTAACAAAGGGATCACTAAGCATTTTAAAGGAATTAGAGAAAGGAGAATGTGTGTAAAATAACCAGAAAGTTTTACATAAGAATGATCTGATTCGAATGTAGAATATCTTTAGAAGCATTTTATACAGCTGTCAATGTTTTGGATAAACCACTTTATCAAATAGAGGCAATTACTGATTCAGTAACAGCCAACATAAAATCCCTGACTTACGAGCAGCTGAACTGGCTTCCCTGTGGACTTTGTGGTCAGTGACTCTACTTCTTTCTCCTTTCTCCTTTGTTCCTTGATGTGTGATCAGCTCACCCTGATCCTGCCTTCTGGGATGCCCTTGCTCTCCTGGGAACGAACGGCGGGGGAGAGACCAGGGCCTTATCCCAGGCAGAGGTGCCACATGGCCTTCTCTCTTCCCATAACATCCTCCCCGACCCGCTGTCCCCACAATTTTGGAGATTGGTGAGCATTCCAGGCTCTAAGTTGGTTAGCCTTGGGTCTTGCATCTAGAGGTTTCCTATGAAGTACCAGAGAATATGACATTAAGGAAAGTCAGACAGAAAAGATGAGACCAAACCAACCTAGGATCCATGGAAGAAGAAAAGCAATTTTGCTTTAAGGATTGGCAACAGTGTGGTGCTGTCAGTTTCATCCCCAAGTGAGGAGAGGGAAGGGCTTAACTCCTCCTAAAGGGAATGGGGAAGAAACAGATTCAGTGATCTTAATCTACACATAGTAGGTCCAGAGTTTTCTCAAGCCCGTCAGCCCCCTTAAGCAGCCATATTCATATCCTGACAGCTTTCTTCCTAAACCTGCTTGTCCTTTGGTCCAAGAATCCAAGGTAAATTTAAAACACTGTCTTATTATTGTTTTAGAGTTTGCAAAGGTACTTTAGTATTCATTATTTTTTTAAATTCTTGCAGCAACTGGGGGGAGTTTGTATCATGCTTAGCATAGCATAAAATATCCATTATGTACATAATAGAATAGATAATGTATACACTGTTACTGCCCTGATAAGCCACGATCATTAGGAATCCCCGGCTCACCTTCTGCTTCTCTATACATGATGGCTTTTGCTCTTTGAAATGAGCTTTCTCTAGCTGCAGAGCACCCCCAAAGTATCCTTCTCTCAGCACTAGGGTGAGAAATCCTAGGGCAGAACTTCAAGAGTCCTACTTGCATTAAAATTTCATCCCACTACTAATCATTGTGTGTTGGGAGGGCGTGGTCACATAGAAAAATAACAGTTCTCATTTGGAACCAATATTCAGCATAATAAGAGGCTGTCTTAGTCCATTCGGGCTGCTATAACAGAATACCAGAGACTGGGTGGCTTATAAACAACAGAAATTTATTCATCATAGTTCCAGAGGCTGGAAGTATAAGATCAAGGTGCTGGCAGATTCGGTGTCTGGTGAGAGCCTGCCTCCTGGTTCATGCCCCTCTCTTTCCCTGTGCCCTCCTGTGGCAGGAGGGTGAGGCCATCCTGGGTCTCCTGTGCAGGCAGCCTTCACTCTCATGGGCCATTCACCTCACCTCTTAATACCATGACACTGGGGATTAGTTTCAGCATATGAATTTGGGAGGAGGGACCTAAACATTAAGTGTATAGCAGAGGCGAAGAAGTTTCTCATGAAGGGAGAGGGCAGCACAGACACGGCCGCCTGGGGTCCTAGGAGTTGGATAACCATCCCAATTCATGTCTCCTTACAACTGTTTAATTTATGGATTGAATTTTGTGCTCTTTTCTTTTACCCATCTGTGAGGCTTACCACTATCACCCTCCGTCCTCGTTCCCTTGCTCTGGTTCTCATTGCCACTTAACTGTTGTGTTTTGTCACCGTCTCAGATTGAATTTTAAAAATCCCCAGTTTTAAATGTCATTTCCCCAAGAGTCTAAGTCTTGCACCTCAGTGAAAGTTTCTCTTAATTTTTAATAGGCTTTATTTTTTAGAGCAGGTTTAGGTTCACAGCAAGTTGAGCAGGAATTGTAGAGTTCCTGTATATCCCTGTCCTCACAATATCTTATTAATTTTTGTATCATGGTCTTCTTCAATTATCAATATTTCAACATGCCTGAAAGATGATTGTATTTGAAACATTTCTGACATATTTTGCTTTCATATGCTTTAATTTACTGTTTTGAGGCTGACGACTCTCATCCCTACATTCCCAGTCAAGACTTCCTTCCCTCCTTACTTGTACATACATTTCTCTGATAGGCATCATCTGGATGGCTTGCTGATCCTTCCAGCCAGCATTTCCAGAATGGGAATCAGTATCTTATCCCCCTCCTTAAAAATCTGCCTTTTTTATGTTTCCTGTTCCTATGTCAGTGAGGGTTGTGCACACCTCGTTACTCCAGCCAGAAATCTGGAGATTGATTGTCTTGGGTGAGTCCCTTCTTTCTCCCCAGACTCATTCAATTGCCATGTCTTGCAGATTGTACCTCCTAAGTTCTACCCTCATCGTTGCTATTGGTTCTCCAGTAAAGAACTCAGTATCCCTGGCTTGGTTTACTGTACCAGCCTCCTAGCTCATCTGTCTGCTCTCACTCTTGTCCAAATCCAGTCCTTTCCCAAAGCTAGAGTGATTCTTCCAAAATGCAAATCTGATTGTCTTGCTCTGTACTTAAAACCTCTTAGAGTTTCCCCTTGCCTCCAGGAAGAAAACCCCTTTTTTCCCCTGAGGTTTTTCCTGAGCTGGCACCTGCACCATCACCCCTCTACACCCAACCAGCTGTGTTTTCCTCTAGCTTTCCTGGCTGGGACCTCCTGAAGGGGCGGGGTAGTATAGGGTTTAAGAGTACTGACTCAGGTGCACAGTAAGGCTTCACCAGCTGGGGCACATTATACTTAACTCTCTGAGCCTCTATTTGTAAAAGAAGATAGCCTAACTATTCATGGGATTATTATGAAGAGGGGCTGTGATAATATTCACAAAGTATTTGGCACAGAGTAAGCCTTTGCTATGTGGCAGTTTATTATTAGTATCAGGTCATGTTATTCCTATGCTCATTAATTTTGCATTGTGCTTGTCATAGCTTGCATTCTTTCAATTAGCAATTACGTCCTGACCACCTATGATGTGCCAGTATTCTAGAAGCTGGGGAAACATTGGTACCCCAGAATGATATTCTGATCCAATTAATTTCTCTTTATGCTTCCAGACCTTTTTGACTTTCCTAGGTCTAGGATGCTCTGTGCTCCCACTTCCCGTGTATTCCTTTGTTTCACTTAACAGTTTCCGGTGCTGTGGGGGAAATGGAAATTGCTATGGCCAGGAGGACCCTCACCTGACCCTAAACTACTTGATGATATAATTGGCCTCCTGCTAGGCTAATAATGCTTCCAGGCCTGTTAGCAGTGAGCTATTACTGACTGAGTCCCTATATAAAGAGCTCCGCTCAGTTCTCTGAACAGAGGCAGAGATGGAGGTAGATTACGGGCCTGCAGACTGCTGGATACAGATGTGATTCTAGTGCTCGACCTACTGCCAGGAGAATAAAGCCGGGTATAAACCCTTTTATCCCAAGAACTTTCCATTGTCATTTCTTGGTCTCACCGAATCCATGGTGAACTTGCCTGGGGCTAAAACCCTCAGGCAAGACAGGTGCTGAAGACTTAATGATTGCTGGTGAACTCTACCATTAGACTGTCATTTTCTTGCAAACCAGGTAGGGGCTATATTTTATTAATTTGTGTACACTGAATTGTGTAACAGTGCCTGATGATCATTCACTTAAATACATGGAGTGGACACATAAAAGATAATCAGTGGGTGTTGCTTGGATAAAAATAAGTGTGATTCCATAACATAATTTTCTTCCACTGTTCAGTGCAAGTACACAGTTTTTCAGCTTGCTTTGGCTGTTAGGGCTGTCTTAGGAACCTGCCTCCCAATTCTGTTTTACAGGGAATAAATGCAATTTGAATACAAATCACTAACTTTCAAATAAAGCGTTAGAGTATATTTCTTTGTAACTTGGGATTTACTTTAGTGTGAGAAAATTCCTGGCCATGAGCAAGAATCTGACCTGATGACCTTACATTAGTTATATTTGTTTCCATGGCTTTAGATTTTATCAATATCCATTTTTAAAGTTTTGTCCTTTCAGTGGCTTTTATGACCTTAAAATCTGTTTCCTTTAATTACATATTTTGTGATATGTGCTTAGTTGAGTTTATGTTATGACAATTTTTTTCTTTCTTTCCTGTGTTCTTTCTTTCCACAGGCTTCCTTCCCTGGGAACTTGCACTTGGTTTTGGTTCTGCGTCCTACCGGTTTTCTTCAACGAACTTTCACAGACATTGGATTTCGACGTAGTCAGGAAGATTTCATGCTCAAATTACCGGTAAGAGTATATTATTGAATGCTTTGTGTCTTTTATTCTCATGAAGACTTCGCACCATGCTGTTGATGTTTTACATGTGTTCATGAAGCACTTAAAAAAACATATATATTTGTCTTCTGAAAATGTAAATCTGAAATCATAGAAGTCTTTGGCTTCTAATGTTAAAATAAAGGAACAGATTAACTTTGTAACAAAACAATTCCATCTGAAAAAGATATTTGTTGTGTGTGTGTGTGTGTGTGTGTGTGTATAAAATCAGGATGTTTTATTTTTAGAAAAAAGTGAGTGTTCATTTACATATTTCAGCTCCCATGAACTTACATCCTGAGCTAGTTTAGAGTACACTTTCTTTTTTTTAAAAGATATTTTTATACTTCTTTAGAGTTAGGAGTAGAGTGCTCATAAACTTCAATGCTTTTGCAAAGATCATTCCCTCCTGATAAAGTATAACTTACTACATAAAACCCTTTTACTTAGTTGTACGTGTAACATTGTTTCAAAAGGTTGACTATAAACAGTGCAAAATTTTAGATAAAGGAGAATGAGATGTCTGGGTTTCTGCAGAGATAAATTTTGCTTTACAGAGAAATCTTTTAAAAGTGAAAGCTGTTATTACCCAAAGAAGGAAGTGCATACATGTGTGTGGGGATGTATAGGAGAGAATTGTTAAGAACCATTTTGAAAAGATAATTTTCTAAGTGAATGCTGAAGTTCATAATATAGTTGAATGGAGGGATGCCACAAAGGGCAGTTAACAATATCTGTCTTATTTCTTTTAAAGGTTGTTATGCTGAGCTCAGTTAGTGATTTGCGGACATACGTTGATGACAAGCAGTTAACCCCCGAGTTAGGCGGCACCTTGCAGTACTGCCACAGTGAATGGATCATCTTCAGAAATGTATGTTTCTTTTGCCCTTACTGTAGAGCCTGTAGTTCATGTTAGCCTTTAAGTCTATTTTGGACTGCTTTTCCTCTTTGGTAAAAACTGATTTCTGGGGCTTGTATTTTTCAAAAAACATACATAATTCAACATGTTGATTTTCTTTGATAGGAAATATCTAGAAATGGTGAAGAGTCAATGAGGATGGCAATTGAAGGGGAGGTCTAGGGAATAAGGAGATCATTCCCTGCTGACCTCCACCTGTGGCCATGTAGTAACTTGAAGAAACAAAGGGTTTGGGTTCAAGTCCTAGCACTGCTACATAACCCTGTGCAAGTTGTATCACCTCTGTGAACTTGTTTCCCCATTTGTGAAATAGGAATAATAATACTTTACCTCACAGGGGAATTGGGAAGATTAAATGAGATAACAAATGTAAGATGTTTGACACAGTGCCTGGCATTTGGTAAGCCCTTGAAAAATGCAGGTAATAGTATTAATCTCATCATCCTAGTGATGCTTCTGAGGCAGTTAAATTATATCAAGGATTCTTTCTATTCTAGAAATTCACAAATAGACAAGGGCCCTGAACCTCACAGGTGGAAGCTTGTGGTATCAGAATCTTTCCTCCAAAGCCCAGAGATCACAGAATGCTTCTGCAGGAGATGATCCTTAAGTAAACAAGGATTCTATTTTCCTCATCCTTGTTCTTTATTCAGCAGTCTTAGTCATTCATATGAAAGTATATTGGCAAAATTAGCAGTGGCTAGCCTTTAATAACCTACAAAGCTACAAACAAGAGAGCAGATACCTTGAGCTACATGGTAAACAGAGGGTTCATGTGGTCTGTACATGTTGTTCTTCTTTCTATGAGTTACTGGTTTTGTAAACAAAATAGCACAAATTTACTTGACATTTTAGAGCAACAGTTTGGCATTCCAGCTTCAAATCTGCAAGAATGCCTGAAATGAACTGTATGATTAGTTTTTCCCCCATCACCTTAGTCAGTGACCTTGTTTGGAAAACTGTATGTTGTTATCATAAAAGATAATAAAGAACTATAAAGTGGCTTTATTCTCATCTGTCTTTGGAAGTAAAGGTATTATAAAACAATTTCATGGTTGCATAGTTAGATTCATGATAACCCTATGTTTTTAAAGGGCATAAAACAAATTACTCAGTACATGGCACCTTTAAGAAAGAGTTTTCATCAGTGTCCAAGAAATAAGATTAGGAATTTACATAAAAGACATTCAAGAAGACATTTCCCCTCACTTAGTCTCTTAAGTGGGTTATTGCCAAGGCCAGTGCCAACCTTCTTTAGCAGAGGGGAGGTCATAGTAGATGTATTTGTTGTCATACTTGAGTACAAGTAAATACAATTACTGATCCAGGTATTGATATGCTGGCAGAATTTCCATGGAATTAAAAGAATCACTGGTTCTCTGCAGGCTATAGAGAATTTTGCCCTTACAGTGAAAGAAATGGCTCAAATGTTACAGTCCTTTGGAGCTGAAATTGCTGAGACAGAACTACCAGATGATATTCCTTCAACAGAAGAAATTCTCGCAGTTCGTGCTGAAAGGTATCACCTGTTAAAGGTATGTCTGATAGAGTGGACAGATAAGAGTTTTGCATTATCTTGTCTTCTTTAGAGAGGTGTTCAGTGAATCCATTTCACACTGATAGGTCGGTAGGGAGACAAATGATATATTTATGTATTATACAGCATACAAAAAATAATACAGGAGAAGAATGTCCTGGATACAGTGAATCTAAGTGTCCTCTTTGTAAATGGTGCATTCTCCTGAGAAGGTGTGTATTTGTAGATAGGATAGTCTGTAATAATGCTCTAGAATAAGGAGTCCATGGTCATTTTTGTTACCATGAATTCCTTATCTTTTGGAAGGGCTCTCTCTTTGGAAGCAGCAGTGAGAATCAAGAGGCAGATTGGCATTCTAGTTTAACATCCAGCACAGGTACAACATGAAGTGGAGAGCTTGATGGGGAGTCAGAAGACCTGGCTCCTTGTCCCACTTCTGCCATTCACTAGCATTATGATTGAGGCCACCATTGCTGAACTGATCACAAGCTTCGTTTTCCAAAGAGTACTAGTTCTTGATGTTTCCAACAATCGACCACAGATGGAAGGTGATTTTGATCTCCCACACAGTCGTCTAGATTGTTGGGTCGTGAGAGATACTGAGTCACAATTCGGACAATGAACAAAATACTTCTAGGTTCCCTTTCTCTGCAAATTTAAGAGTGACCTGAATAAGCATTAGGCATCCCTGTGTAACTCAGGTCTTTCGTGTGCTAATACACATGCTGAGGGTACCGATAGGTACAAACTCTAGGTAGAGATGACATTTTTAAATTAAGAAGAAGAGAGAAACAAATTTTGAATCATAATCTAAAAACAAAACTCTGTTCAAGGAAAGAAAGCTCTGTCCCTCACAAGGTGTATGATTGGGTAATTTGCTTACCCTCTGTGTGTTTCAGTTTCCTTGTGTGTACCATGAGGTGGCGATGCTGATGGTACATGCATACCTTGTAGGGCAATCTTGAGGATGAAATGAAGTATGTGATGTATTTATAACAGTGTTTGGCCCATAATTGGCACTTCCTAAATATTAGCTGTTACGTTTATGTTCTTATTCATGTTGGTGGTGGCGTCATGGAACCTATTCCTGGACAAATACTTGTGCACCCAAGTTGTGCTTAAAATTTCAGAGGGCCCTTGGATCTCTTGAAGAAAGTCATAGATCATTCATAGATGCCTTAAAGAATCTAGTGTCCAAGGTTAAGACCTTCTGAATAGAAGCATATGCTTCATGGTGGATTACTTAATCCAAATGTGAACTAATGTAATACTTCAGGTAAGCAGTGATTGGTAACAGTCCAGGACTACTAGGAAGGCATCTAACTGTATTTGAATATACATTAAATATTATTTGTAACTGTATACTTTCTAGTGTCATAGTATTTAGTATGCTACTCTTGCTTTATTGGAGCGCATTAAAAATATTAGTGTACTAGAATAAAATAAATTAGAACTTTCTGCCAGGATGAGAAGAAGGCTGTAGATGGAACATTGGGTACTTCTGCCTGTAAGGATCTTAGAAAAATAGTGATTACAATATCCATCTTAACAGGCAATGACTATTCTAGAACTGCTGTTCCTATTCTGCATGCTGTAGGTGTATGCTGCCTTCTCTTGAAGTCATTCAAATTAGGTTACTAGTAGGCTGATATATCCTATTGTGCCTTTGTACAGAATAATATTACAACTATAACTGAAGAAGGAAAACTTCTGCTTACAAATCTGGAAGCATCTGACACTGAAGAAGCTGTCAGTTCAGGAGTTGAACATTTTGAACAAATAAACAGTGACTGGCACACCATTAATAAGTGAGTACTCTCTGTTGGTTTAGGATTCCTTATTTTATACTTTTGAGAGGGAATTAGACTTTTTTTGCTGCAGTCTGTTAAGTGTGGAAGTATTCCTGGACCTCTGAGTTGTCTCACAGAGATTAGCTTGTAGAAGAGTTTCTAGAAAGACATTGATGGTCTCTAGCCGGGCCAAGTGTCAATAGGGCTATGACTGCTTATAATTCTTAATGTCCAGACCAAGTTTATGTACATACCTACAAAGCAAGCTGTTGTTGTAAAGGAATTCTGTGATTTTTTTTTTGTTAAGATTGCTGTCTCAATTACATGATATGGAAACAGCTTTTGATAGATTCTGGGAAAAACACCAAGTAAAAATGGAGCAGTATCTGCAACTATGGAAATTTGAGCAGAATTTTCACAAGGTCAGTTAAAACATTCCTTTGTACATTTCTTTTCATTATGTTAGAGGTTCTTACTCTTGGGAAATGATATTAAAGACCAAGATCTGGATACCAGGTTTGCTGATTGCTACTGAAGAGTCTAGGATCATTCATGATTGAGCTAGGGAATATATATGCAAGTATATATACACATGCATACTTCCATAAACCTTCACATATATATGCCCGCACATCATATTTTATAAATCACAAGCAAACACTGTTATCTAGGATATTAAGTTTTAATAGATTATAATCAATTTTTGTGAGTAAAATAACTGAAAATATTTTCCATATGTGCAATTTTCCCATATTGATGTCCTTATTTAATAGTGTTTCCTGCAAAACTTTATTATTAAGAGAAATTGCTTAGTAATTTGTATGCTTTTAAGATTTACTTTTTCCTATTTTTAGCTTGTGAGTGAAATTGAACTTCTGTTAAACCAACAAGCAGAGTTAGCAGATTTAACGGGAAATATAGTTGAAGTAAAACAAAAAATAAAAAAGTTGGAAAACATAGATGACAGTTCTCAGGTAAGATTACATTTCAGATGTTCACTGTATTTATAGAGTAGAATAGTTACATTTTGACGGTTTTCAGTAGTGTAAATACTCATTATCTTTAATCTCTCATAGCAGCAATCTATATAATTGGTTGAATAATACTGGTCTCTCTTCCGTTTTGTTCCATGTGGGGCCAGAGGTCACAATGCAGAAATGTGTACTTGTAATGGGAGACTTCTGAGATAATGGTGTGAACTATTTTAGGCACACCTATAGGAATAAGAACCTACATCATTTTGCAGGAGCTCAAAAAATGTCCATCAGGAATGCTACTTGATACTTGGAAATGAGGGTAATAAACAAGAGCATAATTCCTTAAACGCCCATCATTTGATACTTGGAGTCAAACCAAACATGGATTCCATTCATACAGAGATCTACTTAGTTTTACTAGCTGTGTGACATTGGGAAAATTGATTAAATTTTCTAAGCCTCAGTGTCTTCATTTATGAATTGGGGGTGAGATAACCTACTTCGCAGAGTGATTGGGAGGATTCGTTTAGATGTTGTAGGTAAAACACTCAGCACAGTACCTGAGATGTGTGATATATAGTAAATGGTCAAAAGGAGCCAGCTGTCATTATTCTGCTCTCAGAGCTTGAACTCTTGGCTTTAACAAACTGGCTTTACTCTCCTGTCTTGTAGGTGAGAGCAAGACCATTGTTTTTAAGGTGTGTTCTCAGCAAACACATAGGTTGAATGGATACACCACAGGCTTCTAAAAACAAACATTGAGAGGTAGCAGTTGTGATGACCAGTTCTGGAGTTATGTGTGTAGATCTTTGTGACTGTGGGGCAATTTACAAATCTCCATTAGAACAGTAGAAAGAGAAGGCACACTGGCTTGGGAAACTAGGGGGCTTTGCCTTTTTTGTCTGTTTATTATTTTGTTTAGTTTTTACGTTTTTTTTTTGTTTTAATTGTGTCAAAAAACACTCAAAAGTTTTACCACTTCGGCCATTTTTAAATGTATAGTTCAATAGTTTTAACTGTAGTAATACTGTTGTTGAACAGATTGCCAGAACTTTTTCATCTTGCAAAACTGAAACTCCATACCTACAAAACAACAACTCTGTCTGTTAATTCTGGTTTTCCATCTAGCTAGATAGGCTAGTAACTTCATTTTTCTGGGTTTTATTGTTTTGTTTTGTTTTGTTTTGTTTCTTAATCTGGATAAATATTCCTTGGACTCCTACCATGTTACACTCACCATCCTGGCTTGGGGGGGAGGGGCAGGTGGTGTCATGAGTTGATAGATTGGAGGCAAGAGCATAGATCCTTGCTGACTTGGAGGCCATGTGGTGTTCACCGCAGCTAAGGGCTCAGAAGATGACAACTCTAAAGACCTTTCCAAAGCTGAGATGATGGGAAATCTAGCAGCTTTCATTTGGCTGGTGTGCCCCTCATTTGATAATATGTAAGTTCTGTTCTAAATCTGTACATACCAGGAGAAGCAAATCTCATCCACATTCTGTGTGGGCTGGTTAATTTTCTGTTTCTGGTACCAGAAATGGTGAGCTTCTGATGACATCCCTGCCATAGCTAATTGCTGTAACTATAAGCTTTTTTACAGCCTATAGAAGTATGATATTAAATCATATTGTTGGCACTGTGTCTTCCTTGCTCCACCAATTTGCTTCTTAATTACTTTCTATTTCCTTCCTCTGTTCCAACAGAGATCATGCAGTTACTGTTTTCCTTCTTTGTTAAAATCAGGATCTGTTAGCAAAGACCCAGTTTGTGATATCACACGGCCACAAACTTACAGCAGATCACCATTATGCACTTGATTTGATCTGCCAGCAGTGCCATGAGCTACGTTACTTTTCTGATACATTGGTTAATGAGATCAAAGCCAGACGGATACACCTCAGCAGGACCTTCAAAATGCATCAATTCCTACAGCAGGTAATGTCATGGGACATAATGTATTTCTGAAAAAGAAGATACATTTTTTTCCTGGGTCCTTCTCAGAGGGTATATCAGGGTCTGAGATAGCTTTGGAATTGAACTTAGAAGAAGTTGAAGGATTGAGTTTGATTATATTTGATTACATGTACTTAACCAGCTGCCTCTGTAGAATTTGGGCCACTATTCTGAGTACTGAGATCGAGGTTGTGGTGGCTTCCTTTCTATTTTGGGTACATCTCTGAGTCCGCCCCTCTGCTGACAGTTTGCACTCAGAACGCTTTTAGAATAGAAGCCCTGGGGGCATTTTGCTAAAGCCTGAAACTCCTTTGACATTTCATAGTTATAGCAATAAAAAATTAAACAGTGACTGGAAAATATTCCTCTATCTGTGAGTCTGACCCCTTTCAGAATTAGGCAGTGAAGAGAAGACCTGGACTTGGCAGCAGAATTTAAAATAGTGGCCTCTCTCGCGTGCATCCTACCTGAGCATGAGCATTTTAAGCTGTCTGTCGCCTTCTCTGGCAAGGAAGCCTTTTATCCTATATTGTACTTGGTATTTTGATAGTTTCATGTTTCAGTTATTGATTTGGGGAAAATAGCATGCAGCCGAAGTGTTAGTTTCTAGAAAATGGTCGGATTCCTGATGCCGAATGAACTCCTTGTTATACAGTTAAATGCAGTGCTTCCCAGTCTTGGCTGAGCATCAGAAATACCTGTGGAGCTCTGTTAAAATAGAAAGGCCTGGCTTCTGGCTCAGAGCTACTAAATCAGAATTTCTGGGGCACAGAACCCATAGGTTTCTATTTTGATTAAACAGCTTTGAAAGCGACTCATAGAAGCCAAGGCTGGTGAACACTCTTAAGGGACAAAACGCATTTCCTCTTTATTCATTCATGGTGTGTGTGTGTGTGTCCATCTATGTGTCTGTGTGTGTGACTGACTCCCTCGTCAGGCTCAGCAGTGCTGTGATGAAGGAGAATATGTTCTAGCTACTCAGGAAGTAGATACATTTCAGTCTAAAGAAGATGCTGAGAAAGCCCTCAAAGACGTTGAAAATTTTATTGAAATGGCCCTGCCCTTCACAAATTATGATCCTGAAGCTCTGCAGTATGAATTTGGTATAATTTTATCTCCTGAACTCAAGGTAAGAGGCTTTTTAAAAATCAAATAGACAAATTTTAAAAACCTATAATTGTAGTAGAATTGGTTAAAGTGTTACCAGTTTACAGCTAACTTTATGTCAAGTTGCAATTAAGCCATTCTCTTAAGGAGTAGGGGTGATATTAGTGCCACACTCAAGCATCAAAGAATCCACAGGCTTTCGCTTGCTGGGCCATGAAGAGTGATTCCCTTTTTGAGCTCTGACTCCATTATTTTTAAACTCTTTTCACATACGAGAAGCTCTCACATACATTTCCTTGTACTTCTTTGGAGAAGGCCCAGAGCCATCCTAGGGGAATATTGGGCCCACGGCAAGAGCCCTCTACCCCCATGTCTTTCCTTTGTAAGGCAGTGACCACCAACAGATGCTCTGTGGACACAGAATTGGCTTCCCTACACGGTGTGATTAACGGAGGGAGAAAGGCAGGTTCTGGCGGCTTGGGCACAGGGAACAAGCAGAAGGTGGTAGTAATAGGGTGGAGAGCTGTGGTTTACCTCAGCACCACCCTGCTTAGAGGTGTCCTGAGATACTCTCCATGTTGTAGTTGAGAGCATTTGTGATGCTGTGTGCTGCTGCTAGGCTGTGTAGTTGACTCTAAGTTTGGAGCATCATCTAAGTTCATGCTTAGCTGCACATCTCAGGGGTGCCCCGGAGAATCAGGAAATATGGCTGTGGCAATAACCCAGTGATTCTCTGGAAGCAGCCAACCTGAACTCTAAACTGCCTCCAGTCGTCTGGGAGGGCAGCTACCCATCTGTGGCTCTGAGAAGCCTATTACCCCATGGAGAACTATAGCACATCTTGCAGGCTAACACACAACAAACTACCAGGACATTGCATAACTTGGCGGTTTTCTCCTGCTTACCAAGCCTTCTTTTCTCACCATTATCCCTTTCAGCCAATGAAGGGTAAATCACTTTATGCAGTGACCTATTTCATGACTGCTTGATAAATTTCTTCTTCGAGTTGTTTTGCTTGAGATCTTCTGGTTTTAGTATCGTGTGAAGATAATACATTAATCTGTTTCCCATTACTTTCTTAAATTTCTTATAGTTATATTTTAAGCTCTAAATTAATTTCTTGATTGTCTGAGTCTGAGAAACATAATAGGATTTGTAATGACCCCATTGCAGAAAATATTTCATAGAATTCTTATGCAACCTGCAGCTTCAGATGAGGAGTGTACAACTCAAGCTCGGAAATATGCAAAGTATGTTAGAGAACCAACAAGGTGGTTTCAGGAAACTGACAGATAAGCATGTGAGGCCAGTCCAGTTTGTGGCACCTGATTCTAGCAATTTGATCCAATCCAGAGCACCACGCTTCTCACCTCAACATGGTACAGTATCTTACATTAACCTTTCTATCTCTTGCTGTTGGGTACTTTTTGCTCTTGATGTAAAACTAAATTCTTCAATGTGGGTAAAGTGATGTTTCATTTAAGCATCTTTGGCCTTGCTTAAATTATATTGTACAAGGCAGGAGTCATGGTTGGGCTTATGGTACAGCAGTAAAACATAATAGTAGTACAGTATAGTACAGGATGGTGCACACCTGGACTACAGTATAGTACAGGGTGGTGCACACCTGGACTGAAGAGTTCAGCTTTGCAATGAGGGTGAACATTTTACCAGGATCCAATTCACTCTTTTCTTTAGCAGGTGGAAACTGGTACACACCTGCAGGCATTGGGCATATTGCAGTGCCCACATAGACATATTTACTACTCACCTGTATTATCGAGTGGTTTGCTCTTACTAGCTTCTAGTAAGTGAATGGCTTAGCTAATAGAATGAATTGCCTTTTCTAAGTAGATAGAGGTAAGCAGAATAATTTTGTTAGGAATTGTTACCCAGTCCATTTTCTCATTTCAATCTTCATAGACTAGTTTTAACCATGTAATACATGTTTTCTTTTCTACATTCTGTGGGATAAAATAATTACCCTCACTGTGGTGGTAGACTAAGCTGGAAATACAATGACCCTGCCGGCCAAGTCTCCCTTGAGCTACCTCTGGGACCTCTTAGGGGAGAGTGAGTTGGCCTTTGCGGCCCTAAGGTAGCTGAATGGGTAAACATGGGACTAAATTCAGTCCCTCTGATCTGAGAGCATCAGAGACCTCATTAATGTATAGGTAATGCTTTGAAATTCAGAGAAAGTTTGAACAGGCATAATGAGCATAAAAATCCAGTTTAGCCTCAGCATGGATCAGATTAAAGAGCAGTGATGAAAGCAGGTGACTGGGCTAAGACGATAAGAAGTTTACACAGTTCATAGTTACTAAATATAAAAGTGCACTCAGAGATAAAACTGTGAACAAACAATGTCATAAATGAGTAGTAGTGACAAAGGAGATACTGGGAAAAAGAGTAAAAAGAACAAAAATAACCCAGTAAGGGGATAAAAACCAACAGCTATGAAGAGAAATATAGAATAGGTTGATATTCCTAAACAGAATACAGACCTCAGATTTCTGGCTCCATTTACTGGCTGTGTGATCTTGGGCAGTTCTCTCAACTGCTTTTAGCCTCAGTTTCCTTGTCTGTAAAATAGGGGCACTAATACCTACTCAATTCAAATGGTTGTTGTGAAGGTAAAGGGAAAAAATGTAGACTATAAGAAGTGCCCCATAAACTAGACCATCCCTTTCCCTTCTTGCTTTTTATAGTCCTCTCAAAGCTCATGTCCTCAGAAGGGGTTCTGGAAGGGCACACCTTGGACTGAGGAACAGGGTTCTGAAGAGACTGCCCAAGACCCACTCAAGGCCTTAGTTATGAAGAAGTACATCTTACACATCTTGCTTGTGTTGTTTCATTTTTGACTCTGATATTCTGCTTTAACAGCATTACACTTTCTTTCCACAGTGGGCATCGGATGCACTTTCTTTCAAGCATGTACAGTTTTTACAAAAGGTACCCCTCTTTATTACTTTTCGTCAGGATGTTTGCGGAGTGTGTGCACATGTGAAAAACCAGTTTGGCATCTAAAACCAGCAGCATCTCATTATTGCATCTTGTAATCACTCCCTTGGTTTTTCTTCATTATAACCATCCAGTATTCTTTGAGTATTAAACTTACCTTGGGAAATTGCTTTATAGAAAGTAGATTATGCTTCCAAACTCAAATTTGTTTTTCATCAGATCGCTGCTCATAAAATAGAAATGAGAAAAACAATTGGCAATGTTAACATAAAGCAAGCTTTCATTCATTTTCGAGGCTTTTGTGTCGCCCACTATAAAACTCTTTGGTGGGAGCAGCTTGGACTTCACTTTAAGACTGCCTAATGTATTTGCGAGGAAGAAGGCAGCTTCCTGAATAAATGACATGGATGGATAAATGATTTTATGGATTATCCATCCTGGTTTATAAATTAAATCAAAGCATTATTTATGCTACAAACATTGTTCATCTTGCCTCATTGTTCTGTGAGTAATGGGGCTCATCACAATCAGTTCCAAAGAATTCTTTGAGACTCTTCATTGTTAAGCCAAATATATAAGATTTGATCAAATCACAGTGTAGGTGTTAATTTTTCATAAAATAAGTCAAACTGTGTTTTTTTTTTGGTTGTTTTTGTTTTATTATTTTTATTAATTTGCATCAAGTAGAATCCTGTACCTAGCACAGTACCTGACACTTAGCCAGGTGGAATAAAAATTTGTTCAATTAACATTTATTACAGAGGGAAGTTATGGAAGAACATCGTCTGTGAGGGCTCAAATGTGGTTTGAAATGTGAGCTGCTAAACCTATAACCTATAGCTCTAGTCTGGATCTTTCTCTTAAACTGCAGACTTGTGTTTACAGTTGGCCTCTCTGAATTTCCTATAGGCCACTCAGACTCAGCCCACCCCAAACCGATCACATATGTCCCGCATCCTTCTTCTCTTCCTGTGCTCCTCATCTCGGTGAATGGTGCTGTGATTTCCCCACTCACCTGAGCCTGCAACCTTGGCTTCCCATTCTCACTCATGCCCTACCTCTAATCAGTCAAAACCCCACTCTGCTCCATTCCCACTTCTGTCCCTCACCCCACTTCCCTAATCGAAGCTCAGTCGTCTGTTGCCTCAACAGCCGCAGCAGTCTCCCTGTCTCCCTGCTTTCCCTTCTCAAATGCCCCAAGTTGGCTCGCCTTTTGGACTTGACATCCTGTTCTCCCTCTGCAACACTATTCCTTTTCCTCTTCCTTGTCCTTTTGCTACTTCCTACTCCATCGGATTTCCTGTCTATAGGCTACTTCCTTCAGGTAAGGTTTTCCTTCTTGCCTCTTCTCTTCTTCTCCTCCCCCAGTTGGGTTAGGTGTTCAGGCTACGTGATAACAAACCCCTGTTCGTTTTTTCTCAGCTTTAGTGGAATTGCCTGTTTTCGGTCTCTTGCTAAACTATAAGCTATGTAAGGGCAGGAACTGTATGCAATTCATGTTTGTATCCCCAGCAGCAAACAGAGCTTAGCATATAGTATAGGTGTAGAGTAATTTAATATATATTTACATTGCTAAAAGAATGAATTCCTCTACCTTGCTTTTCAGGAAAAGATGCTGTCTTCATAAGTTGGGCATACAGTCCTTTCTCATCTCTTAATGTATTTGTAAAGAATTCATTAGTAAAGCTCCCTAGTCACCTTTATAAATGAGTTTGTATTTAAAGGGGCAGACATTAGCCACTATGGAAAGCAGTATGAGGGTTCCTCAGACAACTAAAAATAGAAATACCATATGACCCTGCACTTCTAGGAATGTATCCAGAGAAAACAAAATCCCGGATTCAAAAAGATACATGCACCCCTATGTTTACTGCTGCACTATTTACAATAGCCAAGATATGAAAGTAATCAAAGAGTCCATCAACAGATGAATGGATAAAGAAGAGGTGCTATATATATACACACATGAGTGTGTGTGTGTGTGTAATGGAATATTATTCAGCCACAAAAAAGTAGGAAATCCTTCCATTTGCAACAACGTGAATGGGCCTACAGGGTATTCTGGTCAGTGAAATAAACCCTGCAGAGAAAGACAAGTGCCATAAGATTGCACTTACATGTGGAATCTAAAAAGAAAACAAAACAGAAATAGGCTCATAAACACTGAGAAGAGACTGGTAGTTCCCATGGGGGAGTGTTTGGGGTGGGGGGATGGGTGAAATAGGTGAAGGGGATGAAGAGGCAAAAAAATCTCAATCATGATGTAAAGTGGGCATGGGGATGAAAATACAGCATAGAGAATATAATCAATAATGGTGTAATATCTTTCTGTGTTGACAGACAGTAACTACACTAGTTGGGGTGAGCATTTAATAATGTAGATAGCTGTCAAATCACTATGCCGTATACTTGGAACCAACATATGGTAGATCAACTAACTAGACTTTAATAAAAAAACTAAAAAACATAAAGTGGCAGACATCAGTATTTTTTGAGAAATTGATTTTACATGGTAACTAATTGCCATTAAGTAGAACTTATATTTATATAAATATGTTATTATAAATATAAAGTTTATACTTTTAAATAAATGAAATGAAGTATAAAATTTAGAGAATGGAACAACATAGCCTTTCTCTGAATGTGTCTTGTAATGGCTCCTGCCAAGGAGGAAAGGACAACAACATGTTTCCTTCATGGCAAGAAAGATCCATGTAGCCTGTGTGGGTGACAGCCTTCTCAGCAGACCTGAGCATTAGGAATTTCAGTGATCTAGTCTTTGGCTGTACCATATCCCAGGATTTGTAGGGACATCTAGATTCTGTGCTTAATAGTATAGGGGTTCACCCTTTGTAAACTAAACAGAAAGAAAAAGATTAAACAGGAAGAATGGAAATATTAAAGCTTAGAATTTTGATGGAGTTGTTTTTGTTTTGTTTTAGCATTTCAACATGCTTCAGAAATGTTTTATATGATGATTAGAAACATGTATTCTGATGTGGACTATGTGGATATAAATACCACTTCTGTTTCTTGGACAACCTATTCATTTTACTTATCTATAAAATGGGGATAGAATCTCTTAGGGATGATATAACGATTAAAAGAAATGCATGTTGATGAAAACCCAAAGTTTCTGTGATGAATGCCCTTATACTGTTCACCATGTAAGAATTTATTCACTATGTAAGAATTCGTTCACTATGTAAGAACTTGTTCATTATGCTTCAGAAGATTGGAGACTGACGAGAATTAGGCTTGAGATGGATNAAGTGACTAGTGGTTATCATGGTGGAGGAGCTGGGGTGGGTGGGGAGGGTGAGGGGGATAAAGGGGCACAAAATTCTCAATCATAATATGAGTTGGTCACTGGGATAGTAATACACCATGGAGAATACAGTCAATGACTGCAACATTTTCCTATGTTGACAGTCAGTAATCTCACTAGAGGGGGTGAGGATTTAATAATATGGGTAACTGTTGAACCTGTGTTGTGTATTTGAAGCCAGTATAAGACTGTATATCAATGATACTTAAATAAGAAAAAAAGACAAAAGTTTAAAAAATGCATGCATTGGGCTTAGAACAGTGCCTAGCCTGTAATAAGTGCCAAATAAATGTTAGATGCTAAAACTTCTAAATTTAGATTGTTTTTCAAAACTTTTTGATCCAGTCAATCAGTGAGCTACTATCTAATTAAATGTGTATGCGTCAGAATGAACATTACATCTGCAAATGGTCATGAGTACTAACACCTCGCTTCATGCTTGCTCAGCACTCAAGCAGATGTTTGAAGAGAGAGAATGGGTGAATATGAACCAAAATCATGCTCAACAAGAAGTTGAGATCATATAGATAAGTTGAACCCATCAACTGTTGTGTGTAGTGTGATTTAAACATGCTAACATAAACATTGGAATGTTAATATCTAATTACGTAATAAACATGAGTGTATTTTTATTAATAGTGTTGATTTTAATTCTGCTTTGAAATTCTTCTTTCATATTTTTCTACCAGGGAGGAAGATTTGGAGACAAAATCGGAGCAACTTGGAAGTAAATATTAAATAATTCAAAATTGGCTTTATTGCTGTAGTTGCAAAATTGATATGGAGGCTTAAACCAGATTTTAAGTTCACTAAGCCAGTACTGTATGTTTGAAAGCCTATTATATCTAAAAGAAAAAGCTGTGTTGCGTTGTGTCTAATTGCTGTACTGGCATATCCCCAGATGTATAAACAGTTTCTCAAGCTTTGGCTCAAATTCAGAATATTTTCTATAGAATATCTCAAATAAGTTCCAACTTCTCTTTCCTCCGAACCCACCTCAATAAACCTAAGGAAGTATTGCACCTTTCTACAAAAGGAGATTTCTTTCATGAGTATTCTCACCCTGCAAACAGGAAGCATGGTCAAAGGACAGGTTCTAATGGCCCATACTCTGGGGTCAAGAAAAAGACACTATTCATTTCTTAACCTATGTAAGATTGCTTCTCAGTTATCCATGATATTCTGGTATTTGCAGAGTAGCCCATCATAAATGGAGGACCCTATCCTTTTTTTGTGTGTTGTTGATGGTAAATAAGAACAAGAACATATCTCCAGGGGGCAGTATAGCAGTGATAGAGATTGTACAGCTATACTGCCTGGCTTTAATCCCAGCTCCATCACTTATTGGCTGTATAACCTTGGGTAAGTTCTTTGAAACTCACTTTGCATATCTATAAAATGGGGATAATAACAGAACATCCTCATCATGGAGTTAGTGTAAAAATAAAATGATCTAATATTTGTAAAATACTTTGAATAATGTGTGGCATATGGCAGGGTTCTAAATGTTTTACACAATTATTACCAGACTAGTGAAAGGCATATAGTGATAGACCATGCCTGGCTATCATGATGTCCAACTTCTGTATTCAAAAGGGAAACAGGCTGAATGGAACTTCCCATAGTCTTACATGTCTATTCATTCTAGTTTCAACTCATGATACCTTAACATTCCTTTATGTGGATTTATTCATTTATATATTGCTAGGGACAGGATAGGAGGCTGTGACTCTGTACATTTTCTTGGTGAGATTTCTTCTGGTCAACCCAGCACCAAAATCCACACATTCTTTCAATTCAAGACAATTTACACACTCCTGAGCATGTGAAAGTATAAATTTATGTTTCAAAACTTCCCAAACTTGTATGTCAGAAACCTCTTAGGACTAAATGGTACATACCTATCTGATCAGTGGGGTATGCATGTTTTCAGTCTTAATTACAGTATTAAAATGATAATGGTGCATTCAGCAGACAGAAGAAATCAAAGCAAACCCTTAGAAAGGGAGCAAGAAAATGGTGGCCAACCTTGGCCTTAACTCTCTGTCATCACATATTAGGTATGTGCCCTTGGCCCTGGTGCTAAAGCCTATCTGAGCCTCAGTTTTCCACCAGAAATATGGTAATATGCCATTGTTTGCTAAACAGCTGTGAAGATTAGCTGTAATGATCCATTATAGATTTGTTAAGAAAATGATTTGTTAATCACGTAGGACTGTGCCTGCACAATATAGAAAGTAGTAAATGTTTCTTCCTTTCTACATGTATTTGTAATAGGTAGATCATATTTCAGATGGCCACTGCACCTATTGTGGTGAGCATTTAGTAATGTATGTAATTGTCAAATCACTATGTTGTACATCTGAAACCAATATAATATTGTATGTCAACTGTATTTCAATTTAAAAAACCCACAGCACAAAGTAGAATATTTTTTAGCCAATGGTTATTTTGGGCTCTAGTTGTTACAAAGTAATGCTATATTTACTTGGCAGAATTTTCACAAGCTCAGCTGTCCAATACAGTCAGAATGCTTGGAATATACTTCAAATGCTTCTGAGGAGCAAATAACCATCACAAATCCCATGTAGTTTTGAGATAGTGGTCATTCCACAAGTCCTGTAGTGTCAGCAAAAAAAGACAGTGGTGTAGGATCAGAGAGGTCACTTGTAGCAACAACTGATACATGGCAGGGAGAAGAGACAGAAAGAATAGACAGTTCTGCATTTATTAGCCCAAGAGTGTATCATTAGGTTTTATCTCATCATTCATGCTCATAATGTTGCCACTGAGTCATTAGAAGGGTCAATGATGATGTGTGTCCCTGATCAAAGAATTCAAGGATTCATGTAATATTTCCTAGAAAGGTTTAAATTAAAAATCATTAAGGTTAAAACTGTTATTGTTCTTCCTTCAATGAGTAAACTTTAGTTATCTGGAAAGTTAGCTTTCTATGAATTTACCTCATTTCTCAAAAGTGCCAAATAAATGCAACATTGCTTAATGTATAAAATAAATTCTAATTAGTATCATAACATCTGTCCTCTTAGGCAACTCAAATCACATTGTTTACTAGTATATACCAAAGGTTTTCTGAAAAAAAATAATTATCATAGTATTATTTTTCCACTTATCTACATAGTTAGAACCTTGAGAAAACTTAATTTGAACTAGATTTTGTTAAAGAAGAAATCTATCTCTTACCTATGTAGATGCTAAGTTAACTTTTATTTTCATCATTTCAGATTGAAGTGATACGTGGTTGTCAGGAGAAGAGGATTTCTGATCCATCCACCAGTTTGGGCAATGACAATAGCTTGGCTGTTTTAAAGAAGTATCTTATTCATTAATACACATTCATATAGCATCTACCAATAGGAGTCTGATTCAGTGTTCAAGTTGAATGTGTTTGTGATTTTGAATTCACAGAATGGGGTTTTTCTGGGTGTGATGAAAACAGCATGAGGTGAGGTGTCGGAAGCCCTGGACGTTAGGCCAGGCCAGCCTGTGCCCTGTTTGTGTAACCTGAGGAAAATAAACTAGACTTTTCCAGAATCTTAGTCTCCTCCTGTGCAATAGAGGTGGAAGTGAGTGAGACAGTGTTTCAAAAACGACAAAGGATTTTGTACATCTACAGTGTTACTTTGTAGATGTTCATGATCATTTTTTTGGTTTACTTTTATAATATCTTAATTTTGTTCACCTCTAGAATATTATCCGAATATTCTAGAGGTTAATCTCCTCACCTTTTACATTTTGTATCATAGAGTTGTAAGTAGCCAGTATTCTAGAGCAAGTTGTGTGGAGATATATATTCAAAGGATGTTAATGCTTAAAAATGTAAAAACAAAACAGAGACCAAAGGTAGAAGATTTGGAAGAAGTCTGGTTAGTTTTCCTCAAGTTCCGTAGGCGGAGCTCAGTTGGCCAGGCCTGCATCGAGGGCTTCTAACAGCTCATCTCCTGTGCTTTCATCACACCCACTAGAAGGTCACCCATACTGAGGAGTGAGGAAAAAATATGATGTCATTTTAAATATGATGTCAATTGGAAATCACATGGGAAGGAAAATGTATTCTATTTTAAAGAGACAGTAAACAAAGTCAATGAGGAACTTAAGAAATCCACTTCATGTTTTGGAAAATTTCAGACATTACTGGGAGAAGGGAAAAATTGTGTCTAAAATGCCAATACCATTTTTTTGTGAGAGAGAGAGAAAGAAGGAATGATAGCTCAGAAACTGTGCTGTCCAAAAAAAAAAATACTCCCTAGATTTTTAGGAATAGATTTATGAGTTTTTAGTAAATTGATTATTAAGCTTAGTGAGTTAGAAATTAAGTGGCTTTTATTCATTTAAAAATAACTCCTCAGACCTCCCCTCCCCCTTCTTTTAAGTATATTTTAAAGAGTCTTGTGGGTGGCACTTATTCTAGAAACCATAGAATTGATTTTCTATTTTGATGATAAAACCAAAACCATTGGTAGTTCCTATGCATTCACAATTTTTACCTTAAGACAATTTATAGTGATAATAATAGAAACATTGCATTGCAGTTCTAAAGCAATAAGTAACTGACCAATACTGTCCTTGCATTTCAGCTGCGTCCTCACTGAGCTGATACAGACAGAGAGGGTGTATGTTTTAGAGCTGTACACCGTTTTGCTGGTAAGTGACTCAAATTATATTTTCCCATCTTTTCCTGAATGCTCTCCTGCTACATTCATTTCAGAGCAGTCTTCTCTTCCTGTCACCTTCCTTGATTGTCACATCACAGCTGGAGGTATTTCTCTGGTTGTCTGAGGCTGCATGTTTGTTAAATGTGCATATTCAGGTTTTCCCTAAGTAATGAGAATAGTGGGTTCAGACTTTATTATGGAAGAGATAAGCTATTCTCTGAGGGGTACCCCTGATTGTTAGACTTATTCCCAGGGTGCTTTTTAAAGATTGTGGTATCAAGAAGTAAAAATGGGAGAAAAACATTTTTTTGATACAAGTGACTTAATATTAATTTGGTCTGAAAAGGCTTAAATACTTATTATCAGTTTATGGAGAAGCTAATGACCTGAGATATCATTTTACATTTCTGTGCCTCTTTTGTATTCTGTATCCTACACAGCAAGCCACCCTGAAGGCCAACAGGGCTATACCCATTCAGTAGAAAACCTTGATTTCCTTGTCCTGCTTTCTAAAAAGTAAAACTCCAAAAAAGAATGGATATATTTGAGAACTAGATTTGTATGTGAAAATTATAAGCAGCTTCCTCCACTAATCCCTTATACATTCTGCTGTGTCCATACCTTTGGTGGCCCAATCAAATGTTAATGTGAATGTTTTTTTAATTGAATAAATGTATTTATTTTGGGTAGGGTTATAGAGCGGAGATGAATAATCCAGAGATGTTTGATCTTATGCCACCTCTCCTGAGAAGTAAAAGGGATGTTCTCTTTGGAAATATGGCAGAAATATATGAATTCCATAACAAGTATGTAATTGCTGAATTGAACTTTCTTTTTCATGATATTTAAAAGACTATTGACCAGTTTACTATATTTCCTGTAAAATTATATATTTTTTTCTCTGAAATTCTCACAGCATTTTCCTGAGCAGTCTGGAAAATTGCGTTGGTGCTCCAGAAGGAGTGGGACCTTGTTTCTTGGAAAGGGTTAGTTAATTATTATTTAAAAAATAAATATGGCCCACTGAAACAACAGCTCATTTGAAGAACAGATTTAGAGACCAAGTAGGTATTGTTTTTTATGTCCTTATGTTTTTGAAGGAGACACATCACTCCAGCAGGTATTTAATACTAAACCAAGTTGTGTTACAGAAACCGATGGCAACAAACTACCCAGAGCAGGCAAATGGCCATTGTTTTCTGTGGTATCAAATGCTTCAATAGCTCAGTTTGTAACCCCTGACCCCTGGGTGATCCCAGGAGTCCAGGAACTATCCTGGCAGTGAAGATGTGAGAGTTACGATCATCTTGGCACAACCATTCTTGGCTTGGTTAATTTTTAGCCTGAGAGATGCTTTGGCATTCCCCTCTAACACATGTAAAGTCTTAGAATCAAATGTAGTCTGGCTTTCAGACACCAAGGCATCTATCATAGGATCTTTGCAAAACAGAGAGCTGTTTTTTATTCCATGAGATCAATCAGGGAGGCTCATTTCTCTATGTCCTAGGAGTATACTTAGTACAATTGACTTCTTAGCCTTTGTTATCATATGCTCCTCCATTAGAATTTTCTCTCAGAGTGTTCCCTGCTTATCTAGCTCCTTCTCTTCCTGAAAGAGCAGTTCTGTCTTGATCTGAGAGTCAATTTTGTAAAGGTGATAATTGAAAGCTTCTAAATAGATAGCTTACCTTAGAAAGTGTTACAGAGTGAGAAGATAATAAGGTTGAGAAAGAACTGTGTGCCATTACCTTTCCCAACATTTCCTAACTTTAAACATGGTTAACTGATAGCAACACCAGTCTCCTATTCCTTTGGACTCCTGTAGTAGTTCATGTCTGTGCTACTCATTGGGGATTTTAGTTTTACTGTACATCTTATGAATTATCTAAGTAGATGGAAAACTCTTTGAGGTAGGGTCCACATCCTATATATCTTTGTGTTTTTCATAAAATTAGCAGAGTTCTTGGTAACCAGTATTGGTGTAATAAATGCCTATTGATATTGTTCATTCATTCAGTAGTCATCTACTGACCCCCTACCATGTACTAGCACTATGCTGGGCAATGTGGATACCAAGCCTAAGACTATTCACATAGAAAAACAGGGAAAAACCATTGTGTACAGTGTGAGTTGTGCTGTATTAGAGATACATGCATTAGGATAAAGGATCCTACGGAAGCCAAGAAGAAGGGCATCTTACATAGACTGGAGGTGTGAATGAGTGCTCTGCAGAAGAGATGACTCATGAGGTGGATGTTAGAGAGTAAGTAGGAGGTAGCTCAGTAGATGAGGGTCAAAGAAAGACAATTCCAAGGCGAGAGAATAGCACGGGCAGATGCCTAGCAGGGTTCTGGTACAATGATGATGTCTCAGTGATGAATTTAGGATCACGGAAGTTAGCTACAATTCATTCACTAGGGAACTGAGAGATTAATAGCATAGGGACAGCATGTTTCTTGGCACTCCTAGTTACGAAAACTTAGTCTGTTTTTATAGTTCAGTCAGGGAAGGCTTTTTTCCCTCTGTCAGACTTGGTAAGTGGAAGTCATGAAATTACTTGGATTATTATGTGTCTCTCTACTCAGTCTGATGGTCATGCTCTCCTTGGACTACAAAGAGGGCTCCTGACCAGCTGCCAGTGTGGCAGATTCTTAGGCCACATTCCCTGTAACACTTGGTCACACTCGCTCTTGTTCAGCCTTTCTTGATAAGAAAAGTACATCTTTACAAATTGGTAATACATTTGTATTTGCTTTTTATCACAGAAAGATGATTTTCAGATGTATGCAATATATTGTCAGAATAAACCCAGATCAGAGGCAATTTGGAAGAAGTTTTCAGAATGTGCCTTTTTCCAGGTATAGTAATTATTACGGTATTGGAAATACTCTTTTTGGAAGATACTGGGATATTTCTTATTTGTAAATTCATTTTCTGCTGTAAGTAAGTTATATATAATATAGATAAAAGAGCAGTTCAACCCTCTCCAAAACACACCCATACACATGCACACATACTCATGCATCCAAACACATAAATGCTGCTCTCCTAAGGCAACCATTTCCAGCTCCTGTAGCTGCTTTTTTTTGGTATTTACCTCCATATCTCCAAATAACATGCTTACATTGCTATTTCCCTCCATGGAAGATAAGAATTTAGCTCTCTTGCACTGCCCTTGCCCCACTACCACATGCACACACATAACTTCTTTTCCCCCAAATCATCCAACATAGTTATGTCATAACTTTTAGTAGATTGCTGTACAGTACTAAACTATTATGGCTATGTAGTTTCTATGCTCAGATGAATCATGTAGTATATAAGATGGTTACATTTCCTTCCCTTCTGTTTTTTTTTGCAATTGTCTTTTCTACTGCCTCAATTTTCTAGGTATTTACCCCTGTCATACCCCAAACTCTCCCAGTAATGAAAGTCACGTAAATCGCTTCTCAGTACATTTAAACACATTCTATTTCCTCTAAATTTCATCTTGAATGAGCCTCTTCTGGATTCTTCTGATCTAGATTCACTAGGCCTATCATGCAGCTGTTATGTTTGGATCTTGGTGAATACCAGTTTTGGGAATCTGTTCACCTGTCTCTAGTATAGGCTCTCCTGTTTCCTAAGTGCCATATCTTTTCCTTTCTTGTTTTACTCACATATTTGGTAGAACATGTCCTTCCGTAGTTTTACTGGCAAAGTGTACAGGGTAGGTAAACAGTTTTGCAAGCTTACATGTCTTTAGTCTATTGTAACATTTGATTGCCAGATTGGCTGGGTATAGAATTCTATGTAAAAAATAATTTTCCTCTGAATTTTAGACATGCTTACTTTATTGCCTTTTGGCTTTCAGTATTGCTGTTGAGAAATTTGATGCCATTTTGAATTTTGTTCCTTTGCAGACATGACTTAATTTTTATCCCCTCTCTGAAGGCTTATGGGAACATCTTTTAGCCTTAGGGTTCTGAAATTTCACAGTGTTGTGCCGTGATGTTGGTATTCTTGCCGTCTATTCTGCTAATTTTGTAGTGATCTCTTTGAATTTGGAACCTCTTGTCCAACTTTAGTTGGATTTTTTTCTTTGATTTTTTTTCCACATAGTTTTCTCCATTCTATTTTTCTGGAATTTCTATTGTCCAGATGTTGGATATTCTGGATAGTGCTCTAATTTATCTTTTCTATTTTCTGGTTCTTCGTCTTCTTGCTCTATTTTCTGCAATTTATCTTCCAGTCCTTCAATTGAAGGCTTCGTTTCTGCCATTGTGTTTTTAACTATGAAGAGCCTCTACCCTTTTTTGTTCTCTCAATGTTTCAGTAGAACCCTATATTATTTCATGAATTCATTATCTTCATTTAGCAATAGGAGGTACTAATAACAGATTTTCCTTATCAAATGGTTCACTCCTCCCTGCATAATTTCTGTTATCTTCAGATTGCTTTTCTTTTTTCTTCTTCTTCATTTTGTTCCTGTCCCTCAGATACTCATCTCAAATGTCTGCTGTTACTTGTTTGTCCACTTACCTTAGGAGTAAGAACTGAAAAGCTCAAGAGAAGCTTCCTGAGCATATGTGTGTTTACTGACCATGGTTCTGACCTTTGGATGATTTGTCTCCAGCTATTTCCTTCTGTGGGTATATCTTTACCCCCTTTCTCTATAGGTCATTTCATTCAGGCTGGTCAGATCCCTAATCTGCTATCTGGTAAATAAGGATCTGGCCGCCAGGGTTCTAATAGCCAAGTTTGAGGGGGAAGGCTGAGAGTCTCCAAGTTACTACATGAACAGTCAAGTAATTTCTTTGCTTTCTGTATAGTACTGTGTCTCAACTGAACCTGGTATTCCCTAGTCCAAAGGCTTTCTGTTTTGCTCTTTCAGATAAACATCCATTCTTCTAGAGGGAAGGAGAGGCTGCCCTTCAGTTATGCACAGTGGATGGCTTATTGCTTCTTTCTCTTCTTTGGGTTTTTATGCTCACTTATTATTGTTCTTATTTTTGCTAGCAGCTTTATAGAGATGTAATTAAAATACTCGAATTCACCCTTTTTTATTAAGGTGAATTCACCCTTTTAAAGTTTACAATTAAGTAGTTTTACTATATTCACATTGTTGTGCAGGTATCACCACAACTCAGTTTTTGAACATTTTCTTCAGTCTCAGACCTGCATAAAAGACCCCTACCTTTTAGCAGTCACCTCCTTCCCCCAATCCCCGCAGCCCTCTACAATCATTAAGCTACTTTCTGTCTCTATAGATTTGCCTGTTCTGAACATTTCATATAAATGTAGTCATAAAATATGTGATATTTTGTGTTCACCTTCTTTCACTTGGCATGTTTTCATAATCCATGCATGTTAAAGCACATATCAGTTCTTCATTCCATTTTATGGCCAAAAAATATTCCATTTTATGGGTATTTGATATTTTATTTACCCATTCAGCAGTTAATGGATATTTGGGTTGTTTCCACCTCTTGTATACAAATTTTTGAGTGGATGTGTATTTTCATTTCTCTTGGCTCTATGCCTGGGTATGAAATTCTGGGTCATGTGGTAACTCTTAACTTTTTGAAGAACTGTTGGGTTGTTTTCTAAAGTTACTGCAACATTCTACATTCCTACCAGATGTGTATGAGGGTCCTGATTGCTCTACACCCTCAACAACACTTATTAGTGTCTAATTGTCTTCAAACAGACTTTCAACAGCTACAGTTTCTGAAGCCCCGCCTTCATCTCCCCCTTTCAGAGGTATCTGATGTCTGTAATTCTGGAGTCTGTACGGAGTGGAGGGGAAAGGTGTTCTGTAACATACACTGAGTTGTTCCTTGGCTTTTTCCCTCTGTTAACTTGAGATTCACTTTCTCTGGTGTGTTCAGTTGTTTACCACATGCCAGTTGGGTTTCTAGGTATATCTTCTCCTGCTCTCTTTGTCCTCTCTACTTTTTATATTTCATCCCAACCAGCCCCATCTTGCCCTAATTATAGTCCCTATAATGTTCCCAGGGCCTAAAGTCATGACTTTATATTTATAGTGGCAGTGAGCCAATAATCATCTGAAATATAGCACCACTTGATGAGGGCTATATTTTTTCCTGTGATGTTAAAAAAAACTCTACTCACACCCAGTCCGATTTATATTCAGCACAGCCTATTCCTTTTCTGGGCCTCAGCCTATGTTGCTGAGCCTTTTGTTAATTTTCTTGGATGTACTGAAGCACTTCGTAGTCATGTTCATCTATGGTCATTTCATTGCTTCCTCACCTTTTAAGCATTCCACACCAATGTGAATTTATATGTAAAAGCATAGTAGTCTTTGAAGTTTTGGAATTTTCTACCTCCTATAGCCTTGAAATAATATTATTGTAGTTTTTCAAATATACTGCCTCTTATAATTTCAACACCATATGTAACTGATTCTTCTAGTCACTTGGCCTTGAGATGTATGAAACCTGTAGGCATGGGCTCTAATTAGTCAGCACTTGGCATTTTCACAAGCATATCTCTTAATTTAAATTTATTGAAAATTGTATTTTAATGACAGGAATGTCGAAGAAAACTAAAACACAGACTTGGTCTGGATACCTATTTAGTCAAACCAGTGCAACGACTCACTAAATATCAGTTGCTGTTGAAGGTAATTACATGAAGCATTTGTTTCTTTCTTTACTTACTTCTTTGGGTCAGATGCAGCAAAGCCATTAAGAAAGAAGTAGCTGGCTAGGAAGCACTAGAAAAAGGCCGACTGAGTGACCAAGGAGGCTGGATTTAGCAGTAGAATCAATTCAGTGATCTCCTTCTGTTCACTGTGGTTATGCATGTGCCAGAGGCATGGATGGAAAGCTGAGAATATCTGGAGCCCTTTAGTTCCATGCAAGTTACATTGATATGTGTATATTTATTACAGAACTTCTACTGTTGTCAAGAAGGACTAAACAAATAATTTTTGTAGTTTTGAGACTGTATTTTATATGAGCCTTTTCAGTGAAAAGTGAAGACCGCACACCCTCTCATGTAATGTGAAAGGATTACTAAAATATTGTTTCAAGGATAAATAAATACAACACAGCTTGTTTTAAAGTATATTTATATGACATTCAATGGTATGTGCATAATGAATAAAACAAACTCTTACATGTAGAGGACCAAAAAATGTGTAATTGCTTTAAAAATTAATCTCTAGTGTGTCCTAATAGCTATTGCTCTTCAGTTCCACAAGCACTGAATGCCTTTTGCTTTATACTATGTAGTCACTATTCCATTTCTTCCTCAATTTTGACATTGTTATTTAAATATAATATTAATGTGGCGAATAGCATATGAAAGCAATGACACAAAAATGACATTATCTTTGGATTCCTTTTTGAAATTATATTAGGGCAAAAATTATACATTTTCTCCAGCTCTTGATACCTGCCTAAATACCAAGTTTAATGCTTGACTTCTAATTGCAGGAGCTATTGAAATATAGCAAAGACTGCAAAGGATCTGATGAATTAAACAAGGCACTTGACACAATGCAGGATTTACTGAAGTCAGTTAATGACTCTATGCATCAGACTGCAATACATGGCTATATTGTAAGTAGATGTTAATGATTCTTGCAGTTTTAGGGGGTAAGCATGTTAACATTCCCTTTTGCCTCTCCTGGAACCAATTGAGAAATAAGAAGTAAGAGGCAGACAAATGGAGATCCAAATGTCAATATTACTGATAATGCTAAGTGGAGAATTGGCTTCAGATCAGTAGTCAAATGGATTTGGGACATTCCCCATGTCCCTAATCGCCTGTGCTCAAGTCCAGACCTTGGGAGATCCTGTTTGAAGGAATGTTTAGGTCTTCTAAGGAGATATATTGTCCTAGAATTGCTGCTCACCCTCGTCCAGGATAGATGACTGAAGAAAGAAATTTAAATCTTTAGAGTTAGCTCTACCCTATGGGGAAATTTGGATTGGTACATGTCATTTGCCAGTCAGGATCAAGGACAGGATGGTAGGAAAGTTACCCTAGTCTGAAATATGTCCACGTGGAGATACCAGGGAAAAGAAGGTGTCTTACATCTTCCACTCCACAGTAATTTTGTACCTATGTGACACATGGCGTGTTTTAATGTAAAAAGTTGTGATGAATAAAATTTTAAAAACCATGAAATTATGCTTCAGGGTTTTGATAGCTTAAGCTGAACACTATAATGTTAATGTGAGAGATCTGTATGTAGCTATGCCTTGTACAAATGACTTTGAGTTTTCCATCCTAGGGAAACTTAAACGAACTGGGCAAGATGATAATTCAAGGTGCATTCAGCGTTTGGAATGGACACAAGAAAGGTGCTACAAAAATGAAGGATTTTGCTAGATTCAAACCAATGCAGCGGCACATTTTCTTGTATGAAAAAGCCGTTATTTTTTGTAAGAGGCATGTTGAAAGCGGAGAAGGCTCTACCAGATACCCTTCATACAATTTTAAGCACTGTTTGAAAGTAAGAAAATTTGAATTGTTTAATGTAATATTGTTTCATATATATATATATTCATGTTATACAGTTTTCAAAATGAGTAGGTTTTATACTTTAATTGCACATGCCTTTGTTTAAATAAAATCTTTTTTTTTACTGAGGTATAATTGACATGTAACATATTAGTTTCAGATGTACATAATGGTTCAGTATTTATATACATTGCAAAGTTATCGCCATAATGTCTAGTTAACATCCATCACCATACATAGTTACAAATGTTTTTCCTTGTGATGAGGACTTTAAAGATCTACTGTCTTAGCAACTTTCAAAATGCAGCAAAGTATTATTAACTATAGTCACCCGTATACATTATATCCACAGGACTTAATTTATTTTATAACTAAAGGTTTATGCCCTTTGACCCCCTTCACCCATTTCGTCCCCCCCGCCCACCCGCAAACAGGAGGAGAAGTCTTACGTAGAAGTCAGGTAAAGGAGAACTTTTGAAACAAGAGGGTGGGAGTGCAGAGGTTTTGGCTTTCCTCCTCTCTCTCCAATCACAGGCAGTCCCTGTGAGGGCTCCCTACTGTCCTGCAGAGTGTAGTTTGAAGTGATGGGAAGTGACTCGGGCTCCCCTGTGAGTATTCTCTTACCAGTCAATGGTACTGGGTAGAGTTCTTGGGCTTGGAAGTAAGAAGCCTTTATTGTACAGAAGAGACAAAGAGGAAAGAGTTTTCTTCCTTTTCCTCCATGTAATTTATTTTTCTTTTTTGATTGAGGTATAGTTGTTGGTTTCAGGTGTACAAGATAATGATTCAACAGTTGCATACATTCTAAATGTTTGCCACGATAAGTATAGTCACCAGCTGTCACCATACAAAGTTATTGCAATATTATTGACTGTATTCCCTATTCTGTACTTTTATCCCCATGATTTATTTACTTTATAGTGGAAGTTTGTTCGTCTTTTATCTCCTTTATGTATTTCACCTGTCCCCTCACCCACCTCTCCTGTGGCAACTACCAGTTTGTTCTCTGTGCATGAGTCTATTTCTATTTTGTTTGTTTGTTTTGTTTTTTAGATTCCACACATAAGTGAAATCAGATGGTGTTTGTCTTTCTGTGTCTGAGTTCAGTGAGCATAATGCCCTCTGGGCCATCCATGTTGTTGTAGATGACAAGGTTTCATTTTCTTTGATGGCTGAGTATCTGCAGTGTAATTTAAAAATGGGTAACTTTTGTCCTTAGCATATACCCACTTTCCTTTTTGTATCCCTCCTCCATTCCCTGGGAGTTCAACTCCATCTGTAGCTGAATCCTGCACACACTTCCCCTGTCCTATCCTTTAATGTTACTTTTTTTCTCTCCTATCACCCAGACAGGTATTCTGTCCTAACACTAGTTTGCTATTCAAATGAGAACAGTATTGTTTGAGGAAGTCACTGGCAGTCCAGCGATCCTCCCAGCTGGTTTTGACATTTGACAAGAGGAATTTCCAATTCACAAGAGTCTGTAACTGGGGACTGATATTTTGTACACCTGATTATTTTATCTTTCAGATTTTAAATTTTAGACAGAATGTAGCATTTGCTACAGAAAACTTGGAAAGTAGAGAAAATGATTACCTTGATTCCCCAGCCACTATCGCCCAAGTCCTTCTTCAGGGGTATGTTCTTTGGCAGTTGTCATCAGCTTGAGAATGGAGGAAAATTTAACTGCAGTACCAAAGAGGACAGCCAGTGTTTCTAGAGATAGGCCTGAGGGGTTTGTGTCAGGAGGCTACCAGATAAGGAGGCCTTGCTTTTGGTTGTTCCCAGAGGGTTAACCCTCCCATCTACCCAGGGTTAGGTCTCTGACTTCTTCCTGCTCTCTACTTTCCCTGCATCACTTCCGAACTCAAAGCAGTGTCATAACTTGTTAAAACTCTCAACTGTTCTCATAAAAAATGCACAGTGGCTCTTTGATATTAGTAACCCCTTTCCACATCCCCCAAATCTCCATTGGTCCATTATGTCTCCAATACACATTGGTTGGGAACCCAGAATTTGTAATTGACCTCAGAAAGGGTCCAGATCTCTTGCCATCTGCATACATAATCGTGGGAAAGGTACTTTACCTTCATAGGCATGTTGGACCCAAATCCACTTGGTTCACTTTTTATTTATGGAGTGACCTAGTTAGTACCTAATGTACTATTTCTGGTTTGTATTGATTTTTTTTAACCTTTAATTCATCACAATGATGAGCATACTGACAGAATATTTCTCAAGTATATTAGAGTATGGAGGGACTGATATTAAGTAACCAAGTTACAAGAATTCGAAGTACAGTGGTAACCATGGAGACAGAAGATGGGATAGATGCAAGAAACATTTCTGTAGACGGTAGACAGAAGGGGTTGTTGACTTAGTAAATACCTGAAATAAATAATTCCTGACATTTGAAGGAAAAAAAGCCTGGTTTTTCTTTGATTCCCCAATAATGCCTAGTATCCTTAATAAGAGATTAGTTAGTGATGCCTGCAAAGATTTAGACAAGAATTATTAGGAAAATGGTGATGCCACAGACAGAAAGGTAGAAGTTCTGCTATTTCTTAAGACCCACTCTGCTTAGTTCCTACTTCTTACCTATTAACAAGATTCCAGGGTTAAATCATGGCTAGCAGTACTGGTCAGTGTGTAACATAACAATTTGGGTTCTAGTTTTAATGTCTTCTCCATGCTAGAGAGGATCAGTGCAGGAACTCTCTACTGCTGAGCCATTTCCCTCTCACTTTCCATTACTGTTGTCTTGACTTCAGCATACCAAGCTGGAATTCCATGGCCTGATAATTGTACAGTTGTGTGTTATTATCTTAAGTCAGCTGCTTCTATGCTTAGGAAAGACTCTAAGGTCACAGTTAGTCAGATGGAGAGATTTGAGTTCTTCAGATTCTTCAGTTCATGCATTTATTATCAACATCTATTTTATTTAAATTTAACAGACATTCACTGAGTGCTTACTGTTTGCTAGAAATTGTTCTACATGTTTAGAAATATCAATGTTAATCCACATAGCAACTTTATATGGAGTAAGAACTATTATTGAGCCCATATGAGAGATGGCAAAGCCAAGTTCCAAGAGCACATAGCTAATAAGTGGTTCAGCACAGATTCAAACCCAAGTAGATGGCTCCAGAGTTCATGCTCATAATCACTGCACTGCGATGGAAGGCCTTGTTTTTGTTCGCTCATTCTTTCATTCCTTTCGTCATTTCTTTCTGTCCCATTCTCCACACTTAACCTCTTTATCCCTGGAGCCACCACCCTCATTTATTCACTGTATAGCCTTCAGTTTGTGTGTTCTTGGTAAGTGTATACTAATGTTCTATGCACATCTAGTTTTAATTTATATAAGTTGTATTGTTATAATTCTCATTTTTTTCTTTTTTTGATCTCAGAGACTGTTTTTGAAGTATAGCCATATCACTGTTTTATACCCAATGTCTGCTTAACCTCTTTATGGCAATTCAGCCTAGCTACATTGTTTTATTAATGTGATTCAAGAACAATTGTTAACTAATAATAACACAAGAAGTAACTAAACTCTACCCCAGAGATATAAATGAAAGTCTTAAGATTGGTAGTTATTGGTTATAACCCCAGAGTTCTTGACCCAGTAGGTGATTTTTAACAAGGTAGTTGACATTTTCACACTACTCTGATGTCAGAAAACTAGGTTGAAAGTTGGGGCCTTGAACACTTGACACAGGAGATATCTTCAGATAAAATGCTTTATAATAAAGGAAATACATTCATAGCTACCAGGAACCATCAATGAAAATATGAAAGATAAGGCAGGGACCACAGTTAGGGTATAACTCTAGAATCAGATTTGTTATTAAATACATGTTACTTATTATATAACATGCTATATAACTATATTCATGTAGTCAGACCTATACCTCTGCCTCTTGATTCTAAAACTGAGTAAATTTTCACAACATAATAAGCATTTAATAACTACAGTAAAAACCTTTCAATAAAACCTATATGTTTTGTTATTTGCAAAAATATATACAACCCACAAATTACAAATGGATTGCAATCCAGTGGATTGTTTGTAAATGAATAATTTGAAACTGAGAACAATATTATCTGGTAGATACATCTGGATAGAATTCCAGGTTAACCCCAAAAAGTTCATTTAATCTATAATGATGTGCTGTTATACATATGCAATGAAAAATCACAAAAGTCTTGCAGTTCAAATAAGGGAATGCTCAGAAAGCAAACTCATACTTAAGAAAGCTCATTATATGATCTAAGCATTTAATTCATGCCATTTAATCCTTTTATCAGCTCTATGAAATGAGTCATCTTTTCATGTTATAGTTGAGGGAACTACTTCAGAAAGTGTAAGCAACTTGCAGGAAGACACATAGCTAGTTAGTGGTAGAGATGGACTTGCAGCCCAAGCCTCTCAGACCCCAAGTCCTTGGGCTTTCCGTCTTACCATACTGTTAAGACAAAGCCACGTGTTGAAACAAAAACAATTTTAAATAGAGATTGAATATGAGATTATTATTCATCTTAAATTCTGATGTTTGCATAAAAGTAGGTTAGAGTGGATGAGTAGAAAAAATAAAGATATTTTTGGAGATTCTGAAAGTAACTTCTGACTACATTCAGTGTAGACGTCACAGGCTCTTTCCTTAATATGTTTCATTTAATTTTAAAGCATAATCCCTTTTTCTTGATGGGGATTTACACTAGAACTGCTTTTAATGCTTATCAGCTCTAATCAAGGTCATTGATGGGACTCGTAAATGTAACAGAGATGCTCCTTTAGATAATGAGGCAGGAGGTGAAAGATAAGACACACGGGGACTAAGGAAGAACATGTGTCCAAGGGAGGGAAGTTGCTCAGAATGAAATTAAGCAAGATATCAGCACAGAATGAAAGAAAGCGGAAGAGTTTGCTTTGTGCAATCATGTGGAGAGGGAGAAAAACTGTGGTTAGGAAGGGATATTGTGTGTAAGAACTTCACTGGCTACAAGAAGATATCACTCTCCCATGACAGATTATTTCTTTCCTAGAGAGGCTGAGAGGTTGGTGGAAATAAAGGATATTTCCCCACTCCAGAAACTGGATGTTTATAACTTGTAAGGCTTGTATAAATAGTAATTTGTAAGGTTAATTTGTCTGGCAAATAATTTAAAAAACAACCATTTAAACTAATATTGGATGACCTTTTTCACTGATGTTTAATTACTTCGGTGTTTGACACAATAATTTGTTTTAATAGTATACAGCTAATTTATAACCATTCCGTCTTAGATGGACTACTTGGATGTTCAGATATATAACATTTGTTTCAATCACTGGACACATGTAATCTGGACTGAAAGTGCATAGTGAAATGAAAACATATGAATACATAGGTCTATGATTATATTTATTATTTCATATTCTTTGAATGTAAAATGTGTATTTTGCCCAAGTGAGAAATTCTGTTTCATTTAGAATATGGTGGGGGCAGATTTAATGTAATTTCGTGTTCCAAATAAAATGCTCATGAAAATGTTAACTTACATATTGCAGATGGATGAAGTTGGAGTCACTGAATATGTAAAAGGAGATGACCGCAAGTTTGAGATCTGGTATGCTGGGAAGGAAGAACTTTATATCATCCAGGTTGGTTATTTAAAAATTATTCTAGAAACTGTAACCTGCATGAAGATACAAAAGTCTGAATTTGCAAACAAAAATAATTTTGGCTACATTACAAAAACTCTTAATCCTTTCTTGGAGGTCGCTTAAATGTTAATTACTGTTCTAGGTGATGTAGTTGAACATTGTTTCAGTAGCGCATGTTTTCTTAGTTAAGATATGCCTGTGGTACTTTCTACAGCTTTAAGTGTTCACTGCGCTAGGACACTTATCCAACAATAGCTGATAGCCAAGAACTTGGCAGATGCTTCTCTGTCCCCATCAAGTTTCCGGAGTTCCTAGAGTAACAGATTTACAAGAGTTTTGAGTTCCTCCTGTGCTTGACATTCAGAGAATTCCTAATCATGAGACACAGTGATGTGATGATGATTCAGATTTGATCATTGTTTCTAAAGAATATGGTGAAAGATCCCACCAGATGTACTATAAGGTCCAGCCTATTTCAGGAAAGGTGAGAGAAATGAGCACATTTCAAGAGGATATTGTCATTTCAATAAGTATTTGTATCATGACTTGTGACAGGTGAATGTGCTGTTACCTATTGAACATGCTCCGTGTTTTTTCTGTTTTGGTTCCACACTAGGTGATTACAATTCAAGAAATACATTTTCTTGGTTTGATCTAGTTGTAAGAATTCTTGCTGTATTTTAACGAACTTGTCTTCCAAGTAATGAGAGGATATTTAAGAACACTTTTATGTTGTCATCTGTTATCAAGATTACTCTGCAATAGACTATCTTTTCAGAAATAGTAAAACTTGTTTTTTTTTACCAAAATCAAACATAAAAACACTTATATTTTCAAGAGAACTCTTTTACAAAGAAAAAAAAGATTGTATTTCATATTTTCTCTGAGCATTATTATTTAAGGACAATTTCAAAGTGGTTTTGACTATTCATCTAATCTGATGCCTGCTTACTTGCTTCTTAACAGTGTGAAGAATCAAAATGTTAGAGTTTGAAAATGATGGTTTAGGATATAGATCTTGTTTAATATTATTAATCATATTTGTTTTGTTATAAATCATCCTTTTTAAAAGGAAACATGTCTTCTCCTCTCCACTTCTAAAAATCTTTAGGCTCCAAATACCAATGTGAAGATGACATGGGTAAAAGAAATAAGAATTATTTTGTTGAAGCAACAAGAACTTAAGACAGGTAAATTCAAGCACTTCTTCAGAACAAGATAAATTAAGCTGTGAATTCAGCTTTCTTCAGAACAAGAAGTACAGTAATGGTGTATTGACTCAGATTTTGTTGTAATTTTTACAGGGAATGTGGCTGATATTTATTTTATCCTACTTATAATGAAAGGGTTTATTAAACTCAGTAGTAGGAGATCAAGATTCAGGGGTTGTTTAAATTGATTTGGACAATGAACTTTACACTAGAAAATGAAATCTAGTTCTTGAAAAGCAGTTGGAAAGTACTATAGCAAACTGACTCTTAATTCTAAGCCCTTCCCCTGAGGTAACTCTGCTTGGGACCTTAAGTAATCAGTGCTTAATAATTGGTATTTGGGTAGTTCTAGTAATAAATTTTAATTTATTGAATAAAATATTGCACGGTTCAGTCTTTTGCTGTATTTCAAATTCCAACTGGCTTTGTCTCTGGTTATTTCAACTCTGAAGGTTCACTCTAATGGGAATGTGTGTGTGTGTGTGTGTGTGTGTGTGTATGTGTGTGTGTATCTGTGTACGTGTCACATGAGAAAGTCATTAATCTTCAAGGAAGTAAGAAGTGTGGCTCCCAAATGATGCTTACATAAGCTTTGTTTTATTTCACAGTCAAGGAAGAAAAGCAACATAATCAGTTAACAAAGCAGAATAAGCATTCTTCTCAGCAGAATGATGAGTAAGCAATTTTTCTTTTAAGAACTATCACTCCTGCAATCTTCTATTTTCCATACATAACAGGAAAGAATGTAATTACAACGTCTCAGTTAAAAACTACCTATCCTTTTAGCAATAACTCCTCCAATCCCATAAACACATCATTTTCTCAGTTCTGTCCTTACAGTTGGAGCCTGATAGTCTTTAATAGTTAACCCATTGTTTCCCTTGATGTTAAAAGTAATGTGATAGTTTGGGCTAATTTTTAAACACAATTACAAGTGCTTTGCTCTCAGTATATCCTGGGGGGAGTTGCATGTAGGCTGACAGTAGAAGGGGCTGCACTTGTGGCTTTGTCTTCAAAATATTTTCTTCACCTTTGATTTGATTGGTGAAAGAGAGTTCTAAGTATGATGAAGGACTGGCAGCCACTGCTCACCCACAGCTTTGTGGTCTCTTGATGGAGACCACTTGATGATGACTTGGCCTCTCTTCTACATAGTTACAGAGGAGGTATGGATCCTGGGAGGGAACTGTGCCTGGATACGTCCATGAAGTCTTTGAGGAAGGCAGCAGTCCTAAATGATAGTATGCTGCTGGTTTAGAGATGCTGTCTTCGTATTCTGCCTCTACAAATCCTAAAAGGTGGAGATTCTATAGAACCTTTGCATATATGCAGAAGGGATCCCTAAAGTGATTCCAAGGTGTCGGCATAGAAATTCACTATGCAGATGTTAAGGATCATGTAATGCTTTCTTAAAAATACTCTTTTTCTGTTTGTTTCACATTGTATTTCAGAGGTAGCTAAAATCAGGTACAAAGTGTGTTGGTTCATCTGGGGCTTTAGGAGAGGCACTTAAAAGTCACAATGGAAGTCTCTATCTTCCAGGGTCACCATACTCAATGTTTTGTCATCTATTATGGAGTTAAAGTCTTTAGATTTCATGCAGTAGTTGGCCTTTTGGTAGCTGATATAATACAAAAGTATTAATCAGATTAAGGTTTCATCATCATTTATATACACGTTACCTAATTCATTAAGGTTAAAAGTTCATAGAGCAACAGTATTTTTTTTATGTTTTGTTCCAACTTTATTGAGAGTTGACAATTTAAAACTGTATGTTTGAAGAGTACAACTTGATAATTTGATATATGTATACATTTTGAAATATTCACCACAATCAAGCCAATGAACACATCCATTGCCTCATGTAGTTATCCTTTCTTACATGTGTGGAGAGAATATCGAAGATATACCTCTTAGGTGATTTCAAGAATATACAATACACAACAGTCATTTTAAACAATATACTTTCTTTGAGTCCAGAAGAGGAGTGGTTTTTCCTTGCATATTAAAGAAAGACCTTGCTGGCTTGGATCCTAGGATTTATGCTTCTATATGCTTTGAACTACTATCACACAGACTTACGTAAGGGGGGAAATCTGTTTTGTTTGAATGGATTCTCAGAGTATGTTCTTAACGTACATTAGTGGAAGAAATAACATTTTAGATTTTTTCTTATTTGATTGTACAAAAGCTCACTTATTTTCACATATTTACTATTTCAGAAAGCAACAGGGAGCTTTTATAGGTACCAAGGAAACTGAATCAGAACACAGCCGCACCATGGTGGAGGTCGGTGAGGTAGGCGTGTCAGTTCAGGCAGTAGACACAGGTATGTGTAGTGGTTATCTACAGGTAAGATTCATGGTTGTGCAAATCTTTTTCTTCCATTTTTAATTTGCCTAATCTACCTATCTGTTATCTTGTACAAAGAAAACAAAATTAGCCCATATTTATAAGGCTCTTTTGTCTTGTAAGGAAGGCAAATTCTTTGGCTCCTGAATCAAAAACTCTGTAAGATCGCACCATGTGTAAGGGAGCAAGTTCTCCGCGTGATTCTTCCCGATGCTAGGAACCCCTGCTGTGCAGAATACAAAAACAAGTAAAACACTGACCCTGGCTTCAGGGAATTCACACTTAATGGTGAATAGGTTTAATGAATACAGAAGAGTCATTTACAGGTGGAATATTTGTCTTTCTTTTGTAAATTGTGCCGGCTAAGCCAATTTCCACAATTTATTTAATTCAACAAATATAACATAGCCTATGTGCCAGAAATTGTGCAAACTGTTGGGTACACACTTTTTAAGTAAGAGACACTCAGCTGCTATCCCCATGGAACCAGGAAAATAGAAAGATAACTCAATGAGCAATTAAAATTAAATGTGGTAAGTGTTGTAACAGGGTTGTATAAGGTGCTGTAGAAGTATCCAGCAGACTCATGTAAGTACCTCTGGGACCAACAACATACACATTCTTGGAGAAATGCCTTAAAGAGTACCTGATATTCAATATTTAAATGTGATAGTTCTTAATCTGGAAGAGGCCTCTCTACTCGTTGGAGAGAAGCACATAAGGACAACCTCGCTCAGCTTACAGTTATCACTTAAAGGTCACTTTCCTCAGGTCATCTGTGCTGTGAACCCCCAACAGTCAGCAAAGAACAATACCTTCATTTGTCACATGAGGAAACCAAGTCAGAGAAAGTTCACATGACTTTTCCAAGGTTACATGAATAGTTTAGTGTGGCCAAGATGAGAGGCTGTTAATTCCCTGCCTACACTAGATTGCTTAATCCATAGCAGTTCAATATATTGTATTAATTAAGCACCTCTTACATTCAAGGCTCTTATGAGACATATAATGTATAAACACATGGTCTCTGCCTACTAAGAGAGATAAGACAAGTCAAAAATGATAATGTTCTCTCAACAAAATAGGTATAGAGGCTATGTACCTCAACATAATAAAGGCCCACAGCTAACATCATAGTCAATGGCAAAAAGCTAAAAGCTTTTCCTTTGAGATCAAGAACAATACAAGGATGTCCACCCTCACCATTTTTATTCAACATCGTACTGGAGGTCCTAGCCACAGCAGTCAGACAACACAAAAAACATAAAAGGCTTCCACATTGGTAAGGAACAAGTTAAACTGTCACTGTTTGCAGATGACATGATATTGTACATAAAGAATTCCAAAGAATCCACAAAAAAACTATTAGAACTAATGATTGGATTCAGCAAAGTTGCAGGGTGTAAGATTGATACACAAAAATCTGTTGCATTCCTATATGCTATGAATGACCTAGTAGAAAGAGAAATCAGGAAAACAATTCCATTTACACCTGCACCAAAAAGGAGAAAATACCTATAAATAAACCTAATAAACAAGGTTTTCAAAAAGACCTGTATTCTGAAAACTATATGACACTGATGAGAAAAATTAAAGATGGAAATAAATGGAAATCTATCCCATACTCATAGTTGGAAGAATTAATATTGTCAAAATGACCATCCTGCTGAAATTAATTTGCATATTCAATGCAATCTCTATCAAAATTCCAACAGCATTTTTTTTCAAATAAACTATACTAATACTTCTAAAAATCATATAGAAGCACAGAAGACCCTAAATAGCCAAACCAATCCTGAGAAAGAAGAGCCAAGCTGGATGATTATACTTCCTGACTTCAAGCTCTATTACAAAGCTATAGTAAGCAAAACAGTATGGTACTGGCACAAGAACATACCCATAGATCAATGCAACAGAACAGAGGGCTCAGAAATAAACCCACATATATATAGTTAATTAATATATGATAAAAGAGCCATGAATACAGCATGGGGAAAAGACAGTCTCTTCAATAATTGTTGGGAAAACTGGACAGCTACATCCAAGAGAATGAAACTGGTTTACTGTCTAACGCCATACACAAAGGTAAACTTGAAATGCATCAAAGACCTGAATGTAAGTCATGAAACCATAAAACTCTTGGAAGAAAACATAGCAAAAATCTCTTGAATAGAAACATGAGGAATTTTTCCTGAATGCATCTCCTTGGGCAAGGGAAACAAAATAAAATTTGAACAAGTGGGGATACATCAAACTACTAAAAAGCTTCTGTACAGCAAAGGAGACCATCAGCAGAACAAAAAGGCATCCTACAGTATGGGAGAATATTTTTGTAAATGATTTATCCAATAAGGAATTAACATCCAAAATATATAAAGAACTCGTATGCCTCAACACCAAAAAAACAAATAACCTGACTAAAAAATGGGTGGAAGACCTGAACGGACATTTCTCCAAAGAAGAAATACTCATGGCCAACAGGAACATGAAAAGATGCTGCACATTGCTATCATCACAGAAATGCAAAACAGAACCACAGTGAGGTATCACTTCACACCTATTAGGATGGCCACTAACCAAAAGACAAGAAACAACAAATGCTGGCAAGGGTATGGAGAAAAAGGAGCCCTCCTACACTTTTGGTGGGAATTTAAATTGGTACAATTGCTGTGGAAAGCAGTCTGGAGGTTTCTCAAAAATAGAAATACCATTTGATCTCATAGTCCCACTATTAGGAATTTACCCCAAAAAAACAAGATCCCTGATTTGAAAAGACATATGCACCCTTATGTTTTTTTGTTTTTTTTTAAAGTCTAATTTATCAATTTTATTTCTTTCAGGGATCTTGCTTTTGGTGTTTTATTAAAAATGCATAGCCAAATTCAAGGTCCCCTAGACTTTTCCCTATGTTATCTTCTAGATGTTTTAAAGTTCTGCATTTTACATTTAGGTCTATGACCCATTCTGAGTTAATTTTTGTGAAAGGTAAAAGTCTGTGTCTAGATTTCTTTTTTTATTTTTGGCATGTGGATGTCCATTTGTTCTAGCACCATTTGTTGAAAAGACTACCCTCTCTCCATTGAATCATCTTTGCCTCTTTGTCAAAGATCAGTTGATTACATTTGTGTGAATCTATTTCTGAGCTCTCTGTTCTGTTCAGTTAGTCTATTAATCTGTTCTTTTACTAATATTATGTTGTTTTGATTACTGTAGCTTTATAGAAAGTTTTGAAGTTGGGTAGTGTCAGTCCTCTGACTTTGTTCTTCTTCAGGTTTGTGTTGGCTACTCTGGTCTTTTGCCTTTCCATACAATTTTTTTTTTCCTTTTTATTTTTTATTTTGGTATCATTAATCTACAATTACAGAAAGAACATTATGTTTACTAGGTTCCCCCCTTCACCAAGTACCCCCCACATACCGCTTCACAGTCACTGTCCATCTGTGTAGTAAGATGCTGTAAAATCACTACTTGTCTTCTCTGTGTTGCACAGACCTCCCCGTGCCCCCCATTCACAATACATGCTAATCATAATGCCCTCTTTCTTTTTCCTCGCCCTTATCCCTCCCTTCCCACCCATCATCCCCAGTCCCTTTCCCTTTAGTAACTATTAGTCCATTCTTGGGTCTGTGATTCTGCTGCTGTTTTGTGCCTTCAGTTTTCCTTTGTTCTTATACTCCACATATGAGTGAAATCATTTGGCACTTGTCCTTCTCCACTTGGCTTATTTCACTGAGAATAATACCCTCTAGCTCCATCCATGTTGTTGCGAATGGTAGGATCTGTTTTCTTCTTATGGCTGCGAAATATTCCATTATGTATATGTACCACATCTTCTTTATCCATTCATCTACTGACGGACATTTAGGTTGCTTCCATATCTTGGCTATTGTAAAAACTGCAGCAATAAACATAGGGGTGCATCTGTCTTTTTCAAACTGGAGTGCTGCATTCTTAGGGTAAATTTCCAGAAGTGAAATTCCTGGGTCAAATGGTATTTCTATTTAGAGCATTATGAGGAACCTCCATACTGCTTTCCACAATGGTTGAACTACTTTACATTCCCACCAACAGTGTACAAGGGTTTCCCTTTCTCTACAACCTCGCCAACATTTGTTGTTGTTTGTCTTTTCGATGATGGTGATCCTTACTGGTGTGAGGTGATATCTCATTGTGGTTTTAATTTGCATTTCTCTGATGATTAGCGATGTGGAGCATCTTTTCATGTGCCTGTTGGCCATCTGAATTTCTTCTCTAGAGAACTGTCTATTCAGCTCCTCTGCCCATTTTTTAATTGGATTATTTGCTTTTTGTTTGTTGAGGCATGTGGGCTCTTTATATATTTTGGATGTCAATCCTTTATCGGATCTGTCATTTATGAATATGTTGTTCCATACTGTAGGATACCTTTTTGTTCTATTGATGGTGTCCTTTGCTGTACAGAAGCTTTTTAGCTTGATATAGTCCCACTTGTTCATTTTTGCCTTTGTTTCCCTTGCCCAGGGAGATATGTTCATGAAGAAGTCACTCATGTCTATGCCCATGAGATTTTTGCCTATGTTTTTTTATAAGAGTTTTATGGTTTCATGACTTACATTCAGGTCTTTGATCCATTTGGAGTTTACTTTTGTGTATGGGGTTAGACAGTGATCCAGTTTCATTCTCTTACATGTAGCTGTCCAGTTTTGCCAGCACCATCTGTTGAGGAGACTGTCATTTCCCCATTGTATGTCCATGGCTCCTTTATCATATATTAATTGGCCATATATGTTTGGGTTAATGTCTGGAGTCTCTATTCTGTTCCACTGGTCTGTGGCTCTGTTCTTGTGCCAGTACCAAATTGTCTTGATTACTGTGGCTTTGTAGTAGAGCTTGAAGTTGGGGAGTGAGATCCCCCC